ATCTAGGTGGAAAGGAGCTGAGTTAACCCATTAAACATCAACGAAGGCTGGCAATATGTGAACGACAGAAACAAAGCCAGGTTCCTTCCCTTCTCTCCCTTCCTCTCCTTCCCTTCTTCCTTTCCCACAGGTCACTTTCTCTACCCCATTTCAGGTTTTTTTTTTTTTTTAAATTGAAAATAGATTTTTTTTTTGTAGCAAGAATTCTAATTGTACTAGATGTAGTACAAGTTCTAATTGTTCTTAATAATAAAAACCCGGAGTCAACTATCAGGGGCGAAAGCTGAAAGATCAGAAAAGCAGAGCAGCCAATCATTAGAGAGTTCTTACCTCTACCAATGCTCAGACCAACGGGGGGCTCTTCTGTCAGACTGAATCCTGAACTCCTGTCTCCTCCCACCTTACGGTCCTCTCTCTGCCCAGCCACATCACGTCCCATCTCTACCTCCCAAGTACTGGGATTAAAGTTGTGTGCCACCTTGGCTTAGCTCTGGTTCTCTTTTAGACTGGTTTAATCTTGTATAGCCCAGGGTAGCCTTGAGCTCACCCCATCTGCCTCTGTCTCCTGAATGCTGGGATTAAAGGTGTGTGCGGTCACTGCCTGGTCTCTATGGCTAACTAGTGTGGTTAGCTCCGCACTCTGATCTTATTTTTGTTTTATTTGTTAAAGCACAACTAAAACATCACCACAGATTTTTTTTCTCATATAATATATCCTGATTATGGTTTTCCCTCCCTCTACTCTTCCCAGTTCTGCCCACTTCCCCTCCCATCCAGATCCACACTCCCTTTCTGTCATTTGAAAGCAAACAGGCGTATAAGGAATAATAACAAAATAACAAAAAATTAACACATTGGAGTTGGACAAAACAAACAGATAGAAAGAATGGAGCCCAATAAAAGGCACAAAAATCAGAGATCCCACTGTTCATATACTCAGGAATTCCATGGTAAACATCTTTTCACACTCTGTAGGCCACCACCACAAATGATATAGTGTCCTTTGCCATGCAGAAGTGTTACAGTTTCTTGAAGAACCTTAAAACCAACTTTATGAAGATGATAGAGGTTCTCAAAGAGGAAATGAATAACCCCTTAAAGAAAGCCAAGAAAAAACAAAGAGTGGAAGGAAATGAATAAAGCTGTTTGAGAATTAGAAATGGAAATAGAGGCAATAAAGAAAACACAAACTGAGGGAATTCTGGAAACGGAAAAATCCAGGTAAGTGAGCAGGAACTACAGATAAAATCATCACTAACTAACAGAATTCAAGAGATGGAAGAAAGAATCTCCGGCGTTGAACTCACAATAAAGAAATAGATATATGATCAAAAATGTTATATCTAAAAAATTCCGGATGCAATAGCTCCAGGAAATCTGGGATGCAGTGGAAAGACCAAACCTAAGAATAATAGGAATAGAAAAGGGAGAAGAACTCCAGCTCAAAGACCCAGAAAATATTTTTAGCAAAATCATAAAAGAAAAATTTCCTAACCTAAAGAAGGACAAGTGTATAAAGGCACAAGAAGCTTACAGAACACCAAATAGATTGGAAAAATAGAAAGTTCCTATGCCACATAATAATCAAAACACTAAACATACAGAATAAAGGAAGAATATTAAGAATTACAAAGTAAAAAGGCCAAGTAACGTGAAGGCAGACCAATCAGAATTATACCCGACTTCTCGATGGAAACACTATAAGCCAGAAGGGCCTGGACAGATGTGCTTGTAGACTCTAGGAGACCATGGATGCAAGCCCAGACTTATATACCCAGTAAAACTTTCTATCACCATGGATGAAGAAAACAAGAGGTTCCATGATAAAGTTAATCAACAGTCATCCACAAATCCAGCCCCACAGAAGGCACTAGAAGGAAAACTCCAACCCAAGGAGGTTAACTATACCCACTTGTACAGCCACTATGAAAATCAATATGGAGGTTCCTCAGAAAACTGGGAATCGATCTATCTCAAGACACAGACACATAGGTAGAACAGCCCAGAGACTAGGATAGAGTCAAATAGAACTGGGTTTTAAAAAAAAAGTCAATGAAATGCTTTCTAATGAGATTCTGCTATACTCAGAGATCAGTGCCTAGCCCAATCATCACCAAAGAGGCATTATCCAACAACTGATGGGAGCAGATGCAGAGATCAACAGTTAAACACTAGACAGAACCAGAGGATCCCACAGAAGAAGGGTAGGAAGGGTTGTAGGAGCCAGAGGAGTCAAGGACACCATGAGAACATGGACCACAGAATCAATTAAGCAGGGGCCATAGGGGCTCACAGATACTGAAGTGACAATCGCAGACCCTTTATGGGTCTGATCTAGGTCCTTATGTTTGTAGAGCTTGGTGTTCTTGGGGGACTCCAAACAGTGGGAGAGGGGGCTGTCTCTGACTCTTTTGCCTGCACTTGGGACCCGTTTCCTCCTACTGGGTCACCTTGTTCAGCCTTGATATGAGGGTTTGTGCCTTGCCTTATTGTAAATTTGCTATGGTTGATATTCTTGGGAGGCCTGTGTTGTGGAATAGCACTGTAACTATGTAAAGATGTGTTACATTTGTTTATGTTGTGGAATATTACTTTAATTAGGTAAAAATGTGTTACATTTGTTTATATTTCATTCGTTTAACGATGTAAAGATGTGTTGCCTTGCCTGTCTAAGGCACCTGGTTGTTATATATAAAAAAGCTTACTGGCTAACAGCTAGTCAGTGGAGGGAAAAGCAGAACTGGTGAGCAGAGGGAATAAATAGGAAGAGGGAATGAGAGAGGAAGAGAAGGAGAGAAAAGAGAAAGAGATGCCTGGGGCTAGCTAGCCAGGCAGCTGCCATCCAGACAGACATGGAGTAGCACAGCACATACAGAATGGAAGGAAGGTGAAAAGCCCTGAGCAACACGTCGATGAAGAGAGATAGGTTAGTTGAAGCTATAAGAGCTAGTGGGACAAGCATAGGATAAGGCCAAGCATTCATAATTGATAAGAAGTCTCTGGGTCTTGACTTGGGAGCTGGCTGGTGGCCCAAAAGAAAGCCTGCTATACATGCGCCAGTGGACTGAAGGGCAGGGAACCCAGGGCTACATGCTGACCTACTCAGCCAATAGATGGCCAGAGCTGGAGTGGAATAGACAGAAGTGGGAACCACAAACGTGGTCAGCCATTGATGCCAGCCCTGCTGTCTGCTCTTCTAGGAGAAATTAAAGTTCTCTCTGCATCTTACACTTGATATAAAAACCAAATACATTTAAATATAAAAGTGGAAACAAAAGTTATAACAAATCTGTGAGGCTAGGCAGACACAGGTGATTTTCCAACTGTGAGAAGTTCTTTCCCTGGACTGTGTCCCACATAACAATGCCTGGAACTCTAGAGTCATAGGATACAAATAAAAATCTGTGATGAAATAGGAATGTAAAGCCTTAGAGGCTGGAGAGATGGCTCAGTGGTTAATAGCATTTGATGCTCTTCCAGAGGATCTGGGTTCAAATTTTAGCGCCCACAAGATCGCCAACAACAATCCAGTTTCAGGGGATCTGGCACCCTCTTCTGGTCTCTGAAGGCACTGCAGGCATGTGTTGCACAGACACATGCTGGCAAAACACCCATACACATAAAATAAAATAAATAAATATTAAAGAAAAAAAAGAAACTCCAAAGCTTTAAAAGTTGTTTCTCTGCTATCTTTTCATGCCAAAGGCATAAACAATAATATTGCTGGATAATTCAGAATGCAGACGATCAGTTTCTCTATAAGAAAAATTTTATGAATATACCCGGAGCAGATATGAACATGAGCAAAGGGTACACAAGCCGGTCACAGATGCTTAAACAAAGGCCATCAAATATGAAAAATGATGTTTAAATTCAATAGTAAATTCCAGGAAACGAGAATCAATGCAATAAGTAAAATACCTCTTTGCTCTCATCAAACTGGCAAAAGCTAACAGGGAGCATGGGTTCCTTACTGGAGGGTAAGTGTAGACATCAACCAAAACACAGTCTGTGCATTCCTGGCCAGCTTTTTCTTGATCAGTCTGTTTGAAGCAGAAAGGCCCACCCTAAATGAGGGCGATAGCTCCTGGTAGCAGCTCAGGTAAAAAGACATTGAAGAAGGGAACTTGGCTTATTGCCTGCCTGTTCTCACTCTTGCTGGCAAGTTCATCCATCTATCCTGTTGCCAAGGCTTCACTTCCCTGATTCTATCAGCTGCTTCCTCCGGATTCCAACACAGGCAAAGGACCACAGTTCTTCAGGCTACACTAGGACTACGGAGACGTCCAGCCTCACGGAACAGTGCAGTCACCAGATTTCCAGCCTCTCTCTTGTGAGACAGCTGTTGTTGGACTGTTTGAACCGTACTGTGTAATACCGTACGGCTAATAACCTCCCCTTCAGTACATATACACTCTATTGATTCTGCTGCTCTATAGAACCCTAATACAAATTGTAATCTCTGTCCACATTATCTCCCCATATTCCTTGGAAATTTCAAGATCTTAAGGGGTGAAGCCAGTGACATCCTTCTGGGAAAATAAGCAGATATAAACTGCAATCTAGAGAACAAACGCATTGAAACCACTCAGTTTCCAGCCAAGCAAGCTGACTGAACGCACATTGATGCTGCTGTTACGGAGGGCAATGTGGCAGTGTTGACCACAATTTAAGTTGGAAGAATTCAAAATTCTTCCATGTTTTTTGACTTATCTAAATATTTGTGGGGGGTAGTGGGTGTTTTTGTGACCCAATCTGATGATTTTTAATGTCTTAAAGATTTTTCAAAATTGGTCACTAGTGAACTACTGAACCCCACGCTCATGGGGTCCATGCCGGTTTCCCTCTCCTCGGGGCCTTGTTGCTGCCGCTAGGTGACCTCATGGGTCCTCCTGATATTACGCTCCCTGGGGCTTAGCCATGTGCATTGTCCCTCCCCCTTCTCCCCTCTCCTATATAGTTGTCTTGAAGACTCAGGGGTTTGGAGTCCAGAACCTTACCAAGGACTTCCCTTGGGTCTTGGGTTTGGGAACCACAGAATGACGACAGACTCTGGGGCCAAGCTGGAACGCGAAGAACGGAAGCTTCTGCACTCCCGTCTTCCAGTTTCCGTGGTGACTGTAATCCCTTTACAACCAGAACTTCTTTTCCTTCCACAGATGATGGTGGTGGTAGGCGTTATTACAGGCTGGTATTGGCATACCTGGACTCTCATTTCACACTTTGAAAGCACACAAGGATGTACACACATTTGTTCTTCCTTCCTCCCTCCCTCCCTCCAGTCTTTTCTTTTCTATAAACATTATTTATTTATTGTGTATACAGTGTTCTGCCTGCATGTATGACTACAGGCCAGAAGAGGGCACCAGATCTCATTATAGATGGTTGTGAGCTGCCCTGTGGCTGCTGGGAATTGAATTCAGGACTTTTGGAAGATCAGGCAGTGCTCTTAACCTCTGAGCCATCTCTCCAGCTCCTTTCTTTTTTTCGTAAGGCAAGACTCTGAATATGTGTCTCTTGAAAGGCTCAGGTTTCCAGAACAGCAGAGTTCAGAGGTGGGGGCTTTAGTGCTCTGAGGTTATTAACGGATCAATCCATTGACTGATATAAAATTTCATGGCATTTTTAAGAGTTGGTAGAAATTTAAGAAGAGACCTAGCTGGAGAAGTAGGTCATAAGGGTGCACTTTGGGGGGACATATATTGTCGACTGCCTCTTTTTCTACTTGTGAGCCTCTACAAGGCAAGAAAATGCTCACCCACTAATGTTTCTGCCATGACATTCTGCTTCAGCACAACAGAACAGAGCCAAGTGACCATGGGCTGAAATATTGGAAGCCATCAGCCAATAGGAATCTTACCCACCTCTGGTATTTTCCCCCAGATTAGGACGGTTTGACTTAATGACAGAGGAACAATCTGCATTTCATGATGGAAAACTACGGCAGATTTAAAGTCCGTCCTTTTCCCGGGCTCATGCTACCTTCTAATCTCCTTTTGTGATCCTGCCGTGCACCCATGAGGGAGTCAACGGCCAATCTGCAGTGTTCTGTTACGCTGGCTGGGCAAGGCTGTTGAACAGGCTCTGTGTACTATGGGCGGTTTCACTTTCATTGATGTGCCGGATGGGTTGGGAACCCCATCATAACTAGGGAACATCTGTATTCGGAGACACGTACACTCCTCATGATGTAACACGAGGACAGGAGTTGTTTTGTCTGATGTTTCTTTTCAGAACTTAGAGTGTCCAGTGCACCTTAGGTGATTAACAGATGTTTGTAGAACAGAACGGATCCTGTTTGTTTGGGATTCCTACCGGAGCAGGAGCACCGAGCCAGCCACACTTGCCATCAAATTCAGAAACCTACGCTGTGCCTTTGGTCACAGACCTACAGTGTGCTCTGGATGAAGAAACAGAGGCACCACCACCTTCCCCTACATCTTCCCAACCGCACAGATGCTGGGGTCTCTCGATATTTGCTGACAAAAGCAGGCTTCCCTAATGGAATTTTTAGTCTATGATTTTCTCGCGTCAAACCATCATTTAAAAAGTGTGTCCTAAATCTTCTATTTGTCCTACATCCAGCAAGAGTTGGACACTTTCACTCTAACTGAGTGTGCCAAGTATTTTTTAGGCAATGCTTTTTTAGACTTATATGTTTTATGTGTCTGCCTGGTGTTTGTAGAGGTGAACTAGGGGGACATCAGATCCCCTGGAACTAGAGTTATGGCTGGTTGTGAGCCACCACGTAGGTGCTTGGCATTATACTTTGGTCCTCTTGAAGAATCACAAGTGCTCTTAACAGCTGAGCCATCTCTCCAGCCCGATTTTCTAACTTTTAATTCCTTATCATCTTGTTAACATGGATTCGTGTGTCTGTGTGCTAAGAATTGACGATGCAAACCCAGCCACTTTCATGACTATGAAATATATTTGAGAACATGCATATTACTTTTAAGCACTTCTTTTCTAGCAAATTTCCAATAATTAGACTAAATCAAGAGTTACTGGTGTCTCTGTTCACCAATTATCTTCTGCTGTTATGTCTCAAGTCTAAAGTGTCCTCTATAGGCTGATGTGTTTGGACACTTGGTCCCCGGTCAGTAATAACACTTGGGAGGTTGCAGAACCAGAGGATGTAGTACCAACCTAGCGGAAGTAGAACACTGAGAGGTAGGTCCATGAGGTATTTTATCCCTGGCATGATTTCTGCCTCCGGGTTGGCCAACAGAAGCTGCTTCCTCATGCTTCTAATCATTGAGATCCTCTTGCCACCAGGCTTTCTCTGCCAGGGTGGACTGGAATCCCCAAAACCACGAGCCACAACTAGACCCTTCTTCCCTCATTTCTTCCAGGCATTTTGGCACAGTAACAAGCAACGAGGCTCATGGATCCTTTCAAACGCTGAGTGTACTGATTGCATTTTTGCTTTTGTGAATTGTTTGTACTTCTCAACGAAAAACAGTCTAATGTGTTTTCAGAATTTGTAGGCGTTTGAACCCACCTTCTGCTTGAACATCTGTTTGATGTCTGAGCTTGAAGTGTTCCAATATTTCCAACCCTTTTGTTTCAGCTAAGGCTTTCAAATGGAAAATATAATGAATCTATAGATCTTTCCTTTTGTCTTCACAGTTCAGAACTGAGATTCCATGGATCCTTTGAAGTATAGCTACAAGAATAAGATCGTCAAAGATTCCCTACGTTGTTGAATTCTGTAGTAGAAGTGTTGAGTAATTTCTGTCTGAAGAAGCGGAACAAAGATGTAGAACTTGCTTTGATGCAGAAAGCCAGAATAAGAGATGGTTTTGAGTATGAACACACAAAAATTTCTATTTTAGGTCAAAGTTATTTTGTTATGTTCTAGACTCAAGTTTGAAAGAATAGATTTTTTTTAAAAAAAGGGTATTAAATCTAATATGACTGAGTCTTTAAGTGAGACTTGCTCTTCGCTTTTGATCTGAAAGGTACATGTTAATTATCTGCCACAGGCTCAGAACTAGACTGAGGTTTGCCCTCAGGTGCTTGGGCTGTGTGGTGTCTCAAGTTTAAATGATAGGTAACGTCTGGAAGGAAAGTAAGGTACTGGCCAGCGGGGGAGATTAGATGCATCTTTATGGAAGAAACCATTAGATGGTGGAAGGATTTGTGGCAGAAAACTTGTTTCGTAGGATGTAGTTCTTTATCATTGCGAAAGGCATTTGGGTTGTGTTAAAGTCACCTTCCTCGACTCTCAGAACGATTTTAGAGTCTGTGCTTGTTTCAAGCACAGGTTCCTTGGAGGGTAGGGAGGTAGTGTGTCTTCAATTCTCTGCATAGGGCACCATAGCTGAGGAGCTTAACTGCCCAGGCAATGGGCATTCCCAGGGCACGAAAAGCTGCTTATAAGGAATACGCTTACGAAATGGCATCAGCTGTGTGACCACTAATTAGAGAGAATTTAGCCCCAGAAACAGCATTTGCTGATGTGTTCTGGTAAGATGATCAATGGCACTGTCTAGATTTTGAAAGGATCCTCAAGGAAGATCGAAGTGCTGCGCCAACAAATAGGTTAAACCACAAGTGGAATCTCCGGGGAATTATAATATTATACACGGAAATGTCTGTGCGTCTTTCATTCTCAAAGGCCTGGAATCTCGACTGTGATGGTCATTATTACCAATGTGTGTGTGTGTGAGGTGTGTGTATGTTGGACGTGCATGCCCATGCTCACACATGCAGAGGCCAGATGGAGATGTCAGCTGTCCCTACTGTCTTATAGTCTTAGGCAGGCTCTCTGGCTAAAGCTGCATCTCCTCACTACAGCTGTGCTGACCAGACATCGAGCTCCCAGAATCTGCTTGTCTCTATCCACCATTGTTGGGCTTACAGGCGCATGCAGTTATGTCTGTGTTTTTATGTGGGCGCTAGGACTGGAACTCAGCTCCACCGGCACATTTACAGACTCGGCTATCTCCTCCGCCCCCTTGACTATAGGATTGTAATGAACGACCCATTTGCCTGCTTTCAAAAATGTCTGGCTCACAGACACTTTCACTTATGCATTTATAATACACATTGGTATTCATCCCAAGCACAGCTCCACTGAGAAAGCAAGGCTAGGATGTTCATAGGTTAAAAAAAAAAATTGCTTCTTAAGAGAAAATCATTTTCACCAGTAGCCTACGATCAATACAAACAAGAATTCTAAGGATTAATTTGTGGAGGCAACTATCACTAAACACTGTGTCTTTATGTGTTTTCTTGTGTTTTTTTTTTGGAAGATTTATTTATTTATTTATTATGTATACAGTGTTCGACTGCCATGTAGTCTGCAGATAATAGGGCACCAGATCTCATTATAGATGGTTGTGAGCCACCATGTGGTTGCTGGGAATTGAACTCAATCTTCTGAAAGAGCAGCCAGTGCTCTTAACTGCTGAGCTCTCTCTCCAGCCCCCATCTTATGTACCTTCTTAAGGAGACAGAACCTGGGAATTGATGTGTTTTGCCATAAGCTATTAAAGAGTCTCCATTTCCTTCACTAAATGTCTCCTCTAAAGAATGACAGTTAAAGCTAGCTGTAATAGGGGTCTACAGAAAACCAGACAAATACATCAGGCTGTGGCTAAGAAGCTGGCTTACTCTGGGGCAAGTACTAATTTGTAGGGCAGGCAAGCAGGATAGAGAGCCTAAAAGAGCATAGATTTCAGTTTGGGGTTGATAGATGTCCGGGAGCAGGACTCTCTTCCTTGTGAAAATTCACTTTTTTTTTTCCCATCGCATTTGAATAAGAGGACCTCCAAAATCATGAAGTATAATTTGCTTCACTTCAGGTCTACTAATTTCAATATTAACTATACTGAAACAAATATGCTCAAAGGACATCTAGACTGATTGACCAGAGACTGGCTACCAAGCCTTGAAAAACTGGTGAGTGATTCTGAGTTCTTTGTGGAATAAGATACAGTTGAAAAGAAGATAATTTCCATCAGTCCCAGTCCAGCTGGCCTTGGTGAGTTCCCAGTAGATCAGCCCCACCATCACAGTGGGTGGGCGCATCCCTAGTGGTCCTGACTTCCTTGCTTATGTTCTCCCTCCTTCTGCTCCTCGTATGGACCTTGGGAGCAGTGCTCCAATGTGGGTCTCTGTCCCTATCTCCATCCATCGCCAGATGAGGGTTCTATGATGATATGCAAGATATTCATCAGTGTGATATTCATCAGTGTGACTATAGGATAGGGCCAGTTCAGGTGCCCTCTACTCAGCAGCCCAAGGAACAAGCTGGGGACATCTCCTTGGACACCTGGGAACCCCTCTAGAGTCCAGTCTCTTGCCAACTCTAAAATGGCTCCCTAAATTAAGATATCTACTTCCCTGCTCCCATATCCACTCTTCCTCCATCCCAGCCGTCCAATTCCCCCAAGCTCTCCCCATCCTCCTCTTCTCACTTCTCTCTCCCCACCTCCCCTCACCCCCACACCACTCCCACCCAGAAGCTCTCCATTTTTGCCTGGCAATCTTGTCTACTTCCAATATCCAGGAGGATAACTACACGTTTTTCTTTGGGTTCACCTTCCTATTTAGCTTCTCTAGGATCACAAATTATAGGCTCAATGTCCTTTATTTATGGCTAGAATCCATTAATGAGTGAGTACACACCATATTTGTCTTTTTGGGTCTGGGTTATCTCACTCAGGATAGTATTTTCTATTTCCATCCGTTTGCATGCAAAATTCAAGATGTCATTGTTTTTTTTTACCACTGAGTAGTACTCTAATGCATATATATTCCACACTTTCTTTATCCATTCTTCCATTGAGGGGCATCTAGGTTGTTTCCAGGTTCTGGCTATTACAAATAAAGCAGCTATGAAGATAGTTGAACAAATGCTTTTGTAGTATGATAGGGCATCTCTTGGGTATATTCCCAGGAGTGGTATTGTTGGATCCTGGGGTAGGTTGATCCCAAATTTCCTGAGAAACCGCCACACTGATTTCCAAAGTGGTTGCAGAAGTTTGCATTCCCACCAGCAATGGATGAGTGTTCCCCTTACTCCACATCCTCTTCAGCAAAGGCTATCATTGGTGTTTTTGATTTTAGCCATTCTGACAGGTGTAAGATGGTATCTCAAAGTTGTTTTGATTTGCATTTCCCTGATCGCTAATCATGAGGTTGAGCATGACCTTAAACGTCTTTTGGTCATTCGAACTTCTGTTGAGAATTCTCTGTTCAGTTCAGTGCCCCATTTTTTAATTGGGTTAATTAGAACAGATTTACACAGGCATGTATCTAGTGTTAATTCTAAGGATTGATGTGGGATACTTTCATACTTGCTGGAACTAAGTGAAATCCAGAATTACAAATACAAGAGCCCCTATTTCCTTTCCCTGATTGAAGCGCAGGGAGAAGTGGCTGAGGCACAGCACACTGCTTCCCTAACTGGTTCCTGGAGGTGTTAAATAAATTTGCAGAATTGTTATCTTCCCTGGGAGCTGCTTTCTTGGCTACCGTGGTTTTAGCCGAAATGACGCACGTGGTAACCATTCCGGCTCATCTGCATTGACAAAGCTTGATTTAATGAGCTGGGAGCGAATCAACCAACCCCATAGGAACTTGGGGAAAGGTAATTCCTATGACTGGCGAAGGCTAAATGTTGATTTGATCTTTACGCACACTACTTGAGCAGCATTTGTGACTTCTAGATGCAGCGGCATTCAGGTTTTGATGTTTTGACTTTTTGTGTATGTGTGCCGAGGTCAAAGGAGGTTGATGTTAGGTGTCTTTAACTCATCCCCACTTCTGAGACAGGGTCTCTCGCTGAACGCTGAACTTGGAGCTCACTGACTGGCTAGACTGAAGGCCCATTGAGCTCTGGGTATCCTTGTCCCAGCCTGCCTGCTGGGGATTGAAGTCGGGTTTCCAGAGCTCGCACAGCAGGCAATTCACTGCCAGAGCCAGCTCCCTAGGCCTCCAAGTTTTGACTTTAAAAATAATACTCTCTGCTCCAATAATAATCTAAAAGCTCAAAAAGTCTTTTAAAAAATACTTTATGGGTATGAACGTTTTGCTCACACGTGTGTCTGTGCACCACATGTGCCTGGTGCCCATGGGGGTCCAAAGAGGGCACTGGATCCCCTGGAACTGGAGTTATGGACAGCTGGAAGCCACCATGTGAGTGATGGGGATGCAACCTGCTCCCCTGTGAGAAGAATCTCTCTGGCCTCTCCCAAAGCTCAAAAACCTCATATCTCCTGGGACCTACAATTTCATTCAAAAAACAAACAGCCTTGGAGGCTGCAGTTCCAGCTTTATATCAGCAAATCAAAAGATACTTAGTAGTTATAGGCAGTCCACACTCCTCCACCCATGAGTTATACGGACCACAGAAAATGCACTCTGGGGTTATTAGAAAACAAAAGAACATGACGTTGGGAGAAGGTGGGGAATGGTTCTGGGGATGTGAAGGGTAACTATGATCAAAATAATTACATACGTATATTAATTCTCAAAGAATATTGTCTAAAAGCAGGAGGAGGAAAACGTTACAGTAAAGGGGCATCTCTGAGGATTCAGGAGGATCTGTGTTATCGAAAGCGTTCTATATTTCTATTCATATATTCTGTGGAATTTGGGAGTCTTTTTCCTTACAACAAATACCACTGCAGGCTATAAGAAGCTGCAGTAATAAGTAGTAGCGAGTGAGGATCTACACCTGGGTATCCCAACAGGAAGCAGCGGCCTGCTTCTTTGGATGTGAGTTTCTAAAGTACAGTTATCACTGCAGCCCCACGACGCGAAGCTGCCTTACAGAAGTCACACACACACCAGGATGACCTTTGTCTATATTTTATACAAATACAACAGTAGTTTGTGAATACATTTTAAGTACATGATATACACGATAAGCCACTTGATTTTCCAATATCACAGAATAGCAATTTAAAATGCAATAAAAATATACAAAATTCAGTCTGGAATGCAGATTTTTTTTTCATTTCTATTTGACTCAAAACTTTACCATTAGAGCATTTTTAGAGTACTAGTCCAAACACTTTTTTTCATTAGCTAAAAATACAATTTCAGCAGTCAGCTTATGTTCAGGCATGATGCAGTCCATTTTCCCGATGGACTCCCAGTTTTTGTTAAATTCAAAGGGCTGTTAGTAACTTATAGTGTGTTCTTCACTCCACACCCTACATCAAGCCCACTTTCCACTCTGAGTTACAGTCACCTTGTGGACAAAAGCTGGGTTTGTTCTGGTAACATTTGCACATCCACGATCTCCTTTTGCAAGCGCACATGAATACACTGTGGTGGTGTAAAAGTTTGTTAATGACAAATTAAGTCACAGTATAAAAATATATTGTACACCTTTACACCTATGTAGTCCTTTTCCTATGGATAAAAAAAAAATACAACTGAACGAGACAGAAGTTTGTAGCACCGTGAGAGTTGTGTCCCAAGTGACAGTAGCAGCATGATCCCATATAATGTTGAAGGAGGGTTTCTGAGAAGATAGACATTCATTCTGGTTTGTCTGTACCACTGAAGCTTATACAGAGAAATCTGTGTCATCTATAGAGCTAGATAAGCTATCAAAAGACACTGCCTTCCATCCCCAGGGGCTGCTAACATTGGAGAAAGGCTTACTGGTGATCTGTGTGCTGTTACTAAGGCTGGTAGCGTTATCTTGCATATAATCTCCGAGGAGCGCTCTGTGGCTACAATATAATTCAGGTATTCATACAGACCCACGTGATCAAGATACATTGTGTGACCTGGCTGCTGACAGCGTGCATAAAACAAAACAGACTCACCGAGGGACTCATTAGTCAGAAAAACCAGTCTGCCTTCACTAAGGACGAATACTCAACATTGAGAAGATCTCCTCCAATGTCACATGGATCTCAGTAGGCTAGAAGCAACTTGGGTGAACTGGTTTCTTTCTTTTTTTTAACTTACTTACGGACTGGGAAGACAGTGTGCTTTGAGATACGTAAACCTTGTAAAAAAATAAACCATTGTAAAACCATATGAAAAGACACACACTGATTCTGTGCAATATAGCAAATCGATAAGAAAACACTGTAAAAATGTACCTGTTTAAAATACCATCTACCATTTTTTTGTACACAAAGCATTATATATCAAAGGCCTACATATATAGCATCTAATGGCACTTGAAACGAATATAATAAGTCTTAAAATAAAAGGCATAACCTATAGAAAGTTTCTGTAAAAGTTTAGGTTCATTTTGAAAGTGCTATATCTTGTAGTAATGTGAAGTATAGAGGTTGACCAAGCTCTCTTTTTTAATTGGCCTCTATGTGTCCTGCTCACTAGATGAATGATCCTGAAATATGTACTCTATAACATTCATTATTAGCTTAATAAAGCAATCAGCTCTGGCTCATGTTTCAGTCAGTATATGGTTTTAAAAAACCGTCACTGTCCAAATTAACACAATATATCACTATATTCCACAAATGGCTAAAAAAACAAAAAAGCACAAGCAACAAAGACGCAAAAACACACAGCTCGAAAGAAATGCTGACTGAAATAAAAAAAAAAAAAGAAAAAGCTGCGTACAGAATGGTGCATAACCCACCAAGAAAACTTAAGTCCTAGAAAATTGAACTATGGAATAGGATTTTAAATGAAAGCCTAACAGTGACCAATAACTACCAGGGTGGTATTAGTAAATATCAGTGGAGTATATTGCCTACGGCGCCTCGGTTCTTCCACCGCCGTGCTGCGGCAGCTGCCGACACAGTCTGCACACACACGAGAGGGTCAAACTGAATGAGGCTCGGTGTCTTGTCTGAGCTCCAAACTCTACACTAAACTATTTTCGTTAAGGTTAATCCCTTTTCTTTCAGCCAATCTAAGGCACTATCAGAAATTCCAAGGACGATGAATCTGGCCACTGGTGAATGAAAACAGCATTGGCAAGAACTATCCCTAATCACTCCTACTTCAAATAAAAACCAAAACAAGTGACAACATTTTCTAGGGGGGAGGGGAGCCAATTCTGTGTTACATCCTTGTTAAAACATTGTGCAATTACATTAAAAGCTGCCTGATCTTTAATAGAAAAATCTATCAAGAAAGGGTTTAGTGACCACTGCAGTCAATTAAAAACAAAACAATACAAAACAAACAAATAAACAAACAAAAAAATCCAACCCAACTTGCTGGATTCCCTCTTACTTTGAAGTGTTATTCAAGTCTGTGGGGGCAGCAATAGGCAGAGAGGTGTACATACGAGGAAAATGAAGACTCTACATTTTAACACTGTACCCTGGAAGATGTGTATTAGAGTTCTGTGCAGGGCAAGAATTAAGATAAAAATATATTTATATATATACAGATATGGCGCCATTCCCATTTCAAAATGCTTTATTTCATATATCCTGGTACTCCCTTTTTTTCAATTAGCAGTGAAATACAGCCCATAAAGGCCAACGTCTCAGGTCATTAGTGTGACTTCTTCTTACGCAAATTTTAGATAGAATAAGCTAGTGCTTTCATATGTGATGTCTGGGACCAACCTCTACATAAAAATAGGTTTTCTATTTACTTGTGCTCTGTCACCAAGCTTCTTTTCCTTTTTCAATGGTGATTAAAGCAATATTGAACACTAATCATTCAACTAGAGCTTTAGGTAAGCGATCTGTTTCACAGAAACTAAGGAAGCCGCCTTGAAGCAAAGAGCCCATGTGGAGAGTGAGCATGCGCCCGACCACAGCCCGGGAGCAGCTCGAAGAGCTAAAAATGCATTTCCTTATTAACATATATAATTTTAATGCCTTTGGAACACTTTTTTTTAATAAAATGTAAATTTTCATAATAAAATTTAAATACATAAGTATAAAAACTATTGCTCCAGGGTGAAAACCAGGAGCGAGAGCCCTCCAGAGAGCGACTCTGGTTCTACCAAGTGCGCTAGACGTGTGTGTAACATACAGCGAAAGCCCCACCCATATGACATCTTCCACTTCTCCTCAGTTTATACTACTCCCAAGGATTTTAAATAACGCATCATATTCAGCAATCTATACTCATGTTTAGAATTAATGGTAAACAATGCAATCTGCAGTGAATAGTTGGCCCTATGAAAGGGAACGGGTTTCCCCACACAGGGCTGATTGAGTGCTCTGAAATTCAGGAATATTTCTTCTTCCTCCTCTTTTTTTTTTTTTTTTTTTTTTTTTAAGAGATACATACTCTTCTGTAAATTTTCCCCTACCCCTGCCCCAACAAAAGGGGTCTCAAAATAAGGAGTTAACAAGTGCTTAATAGACACAGCTTGCAGGCTGATGCCACGAGCAACCCTTAGGAAAATCTCCACGGCACTGCTGATCAGAGCCCTGGCTGGGGTGAGGAAGCCATCACTACCGCGTCTGTGAGCACCACACCCTCAGTGCTTTCACACTCACTCGGTGTGTGCCTTATTTTCCTTGCTTCCTCTATAAACTCGGCTTGTTGTAACACTCCTCCCACTCTCTAAGATGTGTCAAAAGTGGGGTTTTACTGTGTGGGTTGTGTAACACGTCGTGGAGACTCCTCAGGTCGCTTTTTAATGTGTTTAAGTTCTCCATCCAACCACGGCGGGGCGAGGAGGACGTACACTGCTGTTTTAGAAGTGCCGGGATAGGCTTACTCTGCCCCGGAAGAGTCCAGTTTTCAGCTCTGGCAACGGTGGGAATTCTCTAGACAAGTTCTGAGGTCTGGCTGTATGTTTGACATCCATCGTCCGGCTGAGGAGTCTCACTCCAGTGACTGAGGCAGTCTACTCTGCGTTTCACTGACTACTGCCCCACAATGGCCCTAAGACTCTGGACTAACCACGGACAACATGCAACATTAAGAATGCTGGTACACTGAGGCCATTCTGGGCACGAAAGGCGAAGGACATGAAACAGGACATTTCTGCCCTGGTCCTGAAGACTGATACCACACACTGTTAACATAAAGTAAAGATGGTTGAGATGTGGCAGAACAGCCTGAGGGCCAACACAGAACACCCTGTGACCTCTCAAGGTTTCTTTTAGATGCTGAAACTCTCTTCTCTCGTTTTGTCATGTGCTCATACTATTCTAGCCAGACAATAGTCTTCAAAATATATTGATCTGAAATGATGGCATATTTAAGAAACCACTATAATCTCCCCAAGCTGGATTCTCGATTCCTTTAAAACACTTGATCATGAATCTATTTAGGGGCTAGCAAAACATGTAAAACACCTCAGCTATTCACACACGTTACATAAGATTTACATTGTATTGCATATTTGCAAAAAAAAAAATGAGCCGAATGTCCGATGCCCAATGCTATTAGACAAAAATGAAAATTTTAAAGCCTAATAGTAATTTGAACACAGGACCTGAAGAATTTAGTGATAATAATGGCGCTCCTATATGAAGTAAAACTCTGAGACTATGACAGCTGGCAGTAAATCGGGAGAAACAGCAAACGTAATTAAACATGAACGGTTTCAAAGCTTATCGAAGAGGCTAGTTCCTATTATTTACTGGCTTTGTGAAACCTGATATTATACAAAAGCAGAAGTCTTTGTATTGTCTTAAAGTAGGCACTAAGATAAAAACGGTCGGCGAGGGCGGGGCTACACACACGCGCCTCCCCCTCGAACCTGCCACCAGGCCCTACTGAAAGGCCTGGTGGAAACGGGGCAGGGTGGTGCTCGTGCTCAGGCTGCTGGTGAACGCCGCGGAGAGCGAGTGCAGAGAACCGAGACCCACGGTGCTCGTAGGATCCTGGAGATCCTGTGTTTGGGCGGGCAGCTGAGAAACGGAAGAATGTGCTTCATCTTGGGAATAGCTCATCCCAAGGCTCCCCACTGACAGAGGATTGTAAGGAGGGCCATTTAATGGTATAAAATTGAACAGCTGAGAAAAATCCAATGCTGGTGTGTTGAGGGGGTCACTGATGGAAATAGAGCTCTTTGACAGCGAGAGGTCTCCCGCACCGTCATCGAGGGACCCGCTCTGAGGATCTAACCCTAACTTAGATGACGACGCTTGAGAATCCTGGGATGAAGAGGGCGCACCACTTTGTAACTCCATCAGGTAACTCTCAATCTCCCCCTTTAACGGCTGTTCTTTTTCAGGAATAGAGATTGCGTATGAGGTAGAACTGAACGGGCATTTGAAAGCAAGATGGTGGGAGGGGTGAACAGCATCCATGTCGATGGGGCACGTCATTCCCAAAGGTAAAGTTGTGATCATTTGGTGAGCAGATCCGGAGCTCTGCATGGACTGAAATGGAGTGTTATAGAGGTTTAACTGCAAAGTGTTTGTGAATGGCTTGGACAAGAGTTCACTGGAAGGCAAGGACATCACCGGCAGGAGCTCGTCTTTTATAGGCACAGACATGTTACAGGTGAAAGGGTCCAGGAAATCTACCGGTTCAGTTTTGACCTTCAGAAGCTCTTGGTTGTGACTCTTCTTCATATGTCGAGTGAGGTGATCCTTCCGTCCGAATCTCTGTGCACAGTACTGGCAGAGGAAGTCCTTTCTCCCGGTGTGCACCACCATGTGTCTCCGGACGTCCTTCCGGGTGTAGAACCGGCGCTCACAGTGCTCACACTGGTGCTTCTTCTCCTTCACGCCCCCGGAGGACTTGCCCGCGTGCGACTTCAGGTGCTCCAGGAGCACGCCGGTGCTTTCGAAAGTCTGCAAACACACCTTGCAGGTGAGGTCGCCGCTGGTGGCAGCGTGCAGGGCCAAGTGCCGCTTGAAGCCGAGCTTGGTGTTGTAGCTCTTGCCGCACTCCTCGCATTTGAAGGTCTCTTTGTTGGGGTCGTGGGTGTGGAGGTGATTCTTCAGGTGGTCTTTGCGGTGAAACATTTTCTCACAATAATTACACTTGTGGGTTTTCTCAGGAGAGTGAGTAGCCATGTGCCTTTAAACATAGATAGATTCTGTGAGTGATTATCTTAGCAAAAGCGTACATACTCATTCTTCAAACGGGAAGCTAAACTACTAAGGCTCGCTCCCAGCTCTCCTAACGAGGGTCTCCCTGAGCAGCACACAGCACAGCACAGCTAACACACCGCACAGCTCGAGCCATCTATGTCGCCACTTTAGTGCTGACTGGGTTTCAGCTCTCATTCAAAAGTAAACAAGCAAGACCGAACACATCCATGTAATGTCCACACCCTTTCCACGAAGAAACTTTTCTTTACACACGGAAATTCTACTCTCATTAAGCATTTTTTACTTTAAAAAAAAAAAATCCAAAGACACTACCACAGACGTATGTCACTTAGAATATTTCAAGCTACCCAATGTCTAATCTACTTAACATTTCCTGTCTGCGAATGAGCTGAGAAATGTGTATACAGATACACACACTTACAACGGCTTCAGACGGCCAACACAAGAGAAAGCATAATCTGAAAGACAAATAGAGCGTAGTACCTTTGTAATTTGTACTTAGAAACAAAGGCCTTGGTGCAGTCTTGTTGTGTGCACTTGTAGGGCCTCTCTCCTGTGTGAGAGTAGGAGTGAACCTTTAATTTCTCAACACTGTTAAAGGCCTTGTCACACAGTTGGCAAGGGAAGTTTTTTCTTGGTTTGGTTTCACCACGCTTACGTTTCCCTGAAGGGGCTTTCTGGGTATCTCTTACTTCTGACAAATCACCAGGAATGACAGTGGCCATCGCAGCCTAAACCAGGCCTTCTTGTTGGACACCTGGGAACTGCCCAACTCCACTAAGTGATATAGCTTTAGGTGGCTTCTCAAGTTTCATGTGGTCGTAAAAGAAAGCAAAAAGGGACTGGAAAAAAAAATAAGAAACAACTAGTTTGTAACTAAACTCAATTAAAAAATTATTTGCTTTGTGATGCTTTTGAATTAAAAAAGAAACCATAAAATGGATTCAGCTGGTCCAATGTAATATCTGTAGGTTCCTTTGTATTTTCCAAAACAGATAGATATCAACGCATTGCTCAGAATGAACAGTTCATACATACCCTGAAATCGCACCTGACAAACGCTGGACTTAGCAGGGCAGCAGTGACTCGGGAACTCAGAGTAGGGTTCTAAAGGTTGCACCAGCAACCTCCCGTCTTACAGCTGAACAGCCGCTGCACTCTGTGCCCATCACGCTGTGCATGTGGGTCACGTGAACACATATGCACTTAGAGCACTTGGCAAACCAGGGAGTCCATGGAAGAGGTGCGGGAAGCTGAGACCCCGTAGGAAGAGAGGTGAAAGCACCACCGAGTGCAAACTGACCCTTCTGACCAGCGCTAGAATACTCTAAGGGGGTTTCTGAATGAGGGTGGAAATGACTGATCTTCAGAGCAAATATTCTTGACATGGTGAAGCCTGTTGATAACACTTGAGGTGATCACTGCAGACCCTTGTCATCTGGGGAAGTGTGGTTAGTGTCCTTCAACTGTTTCTGTCATAGAGAAGACTATTCTTACTGGGTGCACTAACGTTACTAGTAAGCTGGAACCATTAGGCCTCCCCAAGCTGAACAAATTAGCTTTTGATACAACTGAACCTGAGTGTGGCACACCTGTTCAGAGTTCTCACAGTGCACAACATCTGTGCAAAAATGCATCATCACAGAAGTGTTTCGCCCTGAGTTTCAATTCACTATCAGCACTATGAGGAAGAGTGAAGCATGCATGTTGTGCAACAAAAGAATGTCGCTACTTTTAAACAAGATAATTGAAACTAAACAGAAACCTCCATAGATAAGAAGTAGTTAATATAATTAACTCTATTTCTCAGAGCAGGAAAATCAACTCCTCAAAGACTTTACTGTTATGTAAGTTAGATCAGTGGCTCTCAACCTCCCTAATGCCACCACCCTTTAATATAGTTCCTCATGTTGGAGTGCCCCCAACTATAAAATTACTTTGTCGCAACTTTATAATTACAATTTTGCTACTGTTATGAATCATAATGTAAACATTTGATATGTGACACTGGTGGGGTGAGAACCACTGAGTTAAATGTTTCCTCAAGGTTTCTTAAGGTAATTTAGAGGGGTTTTTCCAAGAGACCACAGAAATGGTAGCAACCGTAATGCCTTTTAAAAGGATCTGACGACTAAATATAGTTAAATGAATTTGTCATCCTCTTAGATATTTTAAAGAAAAACAACTTTCTTATCTCACCTGTGTTTTGGTACTAGATTGACACATGCCTTTACACAATTTAGTGTGTTACACTCACTTTTACAGATTCCAGTTAGACTTTTTTCAGGAATTCTAAACACCTACATTTTGGTAACAGTTAAGTGCATGCCATATCTTTTTGTACTTTAGCAGAGAGGCTGTCCCTAGTAGACTAAGCAGCAGTGAGCCATTATCTGACTGAAGCAGTACAGCATTCAGGCAAGCTGAGCACATACAGTTTTGTTTTTTTTTTGTTTGTTTTTTTTTTGTAAGACAGATGCAGGCTTTTATATTGTTCTAATTATCAGGAAGCTCCTCTTACAGTTTACAAATGATATTAATATGATGCAACGAGTATCACAATGCTGATGCAGCTGTTAGCTCTGATATCACACACTGATGCAGCTGTTAGCTCTGACATCACAGCACTGATGCAGCTGTTAGCTCTGACATCACAG